GTTCTTCTACACCTCCCACTGAACAGTGGGTACAAGCCAGGAATACAGACTTTGGAAGCGGATTCCGAAGAGCTCTGAGGAATGCTTCAAAAAAGTCCATATGGTTTTGCCAAATCAAGTGTGCAGAGCTGGGTAAATTTAGCCGAGCGCTGAGGAGCTAAAATTTGTCTCGTTTGACCCAAGTGGAAGGAACGGAGTCATGAGGCTCTTAGACACAAATCCATCTGACTGAATCAGCTCAGGGGAGGGCAGAAATTGATGAGTAACACGTTATTCCATGTGTGGAAACAAAAGGACACCTCGGCTCCTCTCGGAACAGGAGAGCACACCCCAGACAGGTCTAAATAATGCGACTTTCTCCAACATTTTTAGGTGCTGAAATTCCGAGTGACAAGCGCTTGGCGCTCCGACAGCTGGGCCCACGGCTCCAAGTTTTCCTCCTGGAGTTCCAAAGAGTGAAAGCTTTGTTTGAGACGAAGGTGGAAATTCTTACAATGAGACAGGAGGCGAAAGCTCTGGGGAGGGTGACGCGGCGCTCACTGTAAAAATCGCCGGTGTTCCCTGGAGCGAGGTGCCAAGAAAACAAGGGAAGGCTTCCCAAGCCTCCCAACACCATCCTGCTCCCATTGGATGGAAACATCCCAGCACTGTCCATGCCATGCCCCTGGAGCATTCTGGGGCTGCTTTCCAAATTTCCCTGTCACATCCCAAGACCACCCCTCTGGAGCTTTTGGAAGTTCTGCTCAAGGTCAGGCTCAACTCCATGAAGTTCCAGTGGGCAAATTTTTTCGTGTATAAACTTACAGGGGTAAATCCTGACTATGAGCTTCCATTGAGCCTCACCTCGAATCCCAGGCTCAGTTTTAGGCCTCTTATGACAAGAAGGACATTGAGGGGCTGAAGCTCGTCCAGGGAAAGGGAAGTGGGGCTGGGAAGGGGCTGGAGAATTCCTGAGGGAGCAGGGAAAAGGACTCAGCCTGGAGAAAAGGAAGAACCAGAAGGGAAAAGCTCTGCATCAAAGCCTTCCTCAGACTTCCCTCACTTTTTTTTTTTCCCATCACTTTTTCTCCCACTTTTTGATTTTCCCCTCATGGCAAGGGAGACCCTGAGGGGCTGGAGAGTGGCCAGGGAAGGGAACAGAGCTGGGAAGGGGCTGGAGAATTCCTGAGGGAAATGGGAAAGGGGCTGGAGAATTCCTGAGGGAAATGGGAAGGGGCTCAGGCTGCAGCAAAGGAGGATCCCGAGGGATCTTTTCCCTCTCTGGAATTCCCTGACAGGAGGGGACANAAGGGGCTGGAGAATTCCTGAGGGAAATGGGAAGGGGCTCAGGCTGCAGCAAAGGAGGATCCCGAGGGATCTTTTCCCTCTCTGGAATTCCCTGACAGGAGGGGACAGCCGGGGGGATTTGGGATCTTATCCCAGGGAACAGGGACAGGAGGAGAGGGAACGGCCTCAGGCTGGGCCAGGGGAGGGCAGGGTGGATATTTGGGAAAATTTCTTCATGGAAGAGGTGCTCAGGTGGAGTCCTCATCCCTGCAGGGATTTCAAAGTCGTGTGGATGTGACACCTGGGGACATGGGACAGTGGTGGCCTGGGCAGTGCTGGGAATGGTTGGACTCAGTGATGTTTGAGGGCTTTTCCAACCTTTATGATTCTTTTATTCTCTGATTTCTCCTCTCCATCTTCCCTCTGTGACCAGAGGCTTTGGCAATATTTCCCCGAATTCCTCCTGGGAAAGAGGCAGATGAGGATTCTACCAGAACTCCTATTTCTGACATTGCTGCCAATGGAGCAAAAAAGTGGAGAATAACCAAACACCACACACAACAAAGTCCCTCAAATTCACACAGCAAGAAAAAGTACAACTAGAAAAGGAAGGGCAAGTTCAGCACCAATAATAATTTCAATGTAAGGCAATTATTTATAAAACTGAATACAAAACAGTGCAGGGCAATGTTTGTGTAATGGGAAATACAAGTGTGAACACATCTATAGGAAAGAAATACATGAAAGTCCTTTGGTGATTGAATTTGTAGAGTTATCTAGAACAAATTTAAAGATTTGAAGCTCATTTTTAGTCACACTAAGCCAGCCCTTTCAATACACACAGCAATGTAGGAACCTGGTGGATGGAACACCAGATTGTTCTGAGAAGAGTGAAATCCCAGAATCCAGGAGCTGCAGGTGAATGCTGGCACTGAACAAGTTTTCCCATCCAAATCTGCACTTTTTACAAATCTTCATATAATAAAAAAACCTGATTATGTTTTTCAAAAGCATCAGCCCATGGTTCTACAACTTTCACCATTCTCTTTCCCCCTTGAACCTTTAATTAAGTCTCAACTCTGCTTCCAAGCAGCAGCAGCAGCCTAATGACTTCAAACTTCAAACTTCAAACTAAATTTCCTTACAAACTTCAAAACACCCAGAATTTGCTGTGAGTTGCAGGCTTTGAACACAAGCTGCTTAAATAATCCCTTTTATTTTTATTTATTCTTGAAAATATCATCTTATAATCCTCTCTAACCAATGCATTAAATATATATATATATATATCTCTTTGGAATATTTTCCTTTTTTGCCAGTTTTGTGATGAATCTATGTGTAACTATGCAGGATTTCTCACATGAAAAGTGCTCACAGCTGCAAAAAAAAAATATAAAAATGGTTTTCATCAGCAGATCTTAAGGAACTTTTACAAAGCACTGTTTCTAACAGATGGGAAACCTGAGACTCAGGCAGGAACTTTCCTAAGTCACCCAACAAGGTTTGCAAGCTGTTTCTGCTGTGTGAGCACTTTGCTCTCGTGGCTCTTTAGGACTACCCAGAAAAACTGTGTGAGACCTTAGGAAGGGTTTTATGGCATCAGATTGGCAGTTTTCTTTGACAGGAAGGAAACAAACCCTCAAAAACAACACCTTGGGAGGCTGAGGGGAGGAGAGAGGCCAAATCCAGAGCCTGGGATAGCGTGAAAATAAATCTGCCACTCTGAGTTTTGAATTGTGTGTTTTGCACAATAAAACATTGAATTCCACACTGGTTTGGGTGGGCAGGGACCTTAAAGCTGATCCCAGTCCCCCCTTGCCATGGGCAGGGACACCTTCCACTGTCCCAGGGTCTTCCAAGCCACGTCCAACCTGGCCTTGGACACTGCCAGGGATGTGGTGGCCATGGACAGACACCTGAATGCAAAATCAGAATTTCTACAGCTGTAGGAATTGTATTTTGCTGCTAAACAAGAATGCAGCAGAAGAAGTGAGCTTGGTCTTCCCCATCACCACAAGCAAACATTGCCTTCCACTTTCGAGGTAAACTGGGTTTGAGCAGCTGGAGGTTAATACATAAACCTGTATTTTTATTTACTGTTGTAGAACATTCATGGCAGTTTCCTAAAAACCTCCACTTATCCTGCCTGTATTGCCTGCTCCCCTCAGATTCCCCTGGTGGATTAATAGAGCAGAGCCTGCTGTGAATGCAAGACACATTTCCTCACAGATTTGTTTGAAATATAAACTCAGGGCTTAGTTTGCTAAACATTTGTTTTCTTCCCATTTCGATATTTGGAAAGAAAATAGATAGCTCATAATTAGTCAAACATTCACTGGAGAATGAAATAACCACCAGTCCCTTTAATCTGTTGTTCAGAATTCTGCAGGATCTGGAGCTCTATAAATAAATCCTTGCTTGCTCTTTTTTATATTTGTACCAGTGGCAAGAAATCCTTGACTCTAACTCTCTAACAAAGACTTTAGCACTGCATTCTGAGGTGTGAACCAACAAGGGAAGTTATTATTTTTTATGACTTGCCCGTTCAAACGAAAGGAGGCAAAGTCTAAGAAATTCAGATTTCTGACATCAAAGGAAGCGCTGCTCCTTGGCAGATATTTAATAAGGGATCCCAAGGAAAACACGGAGTGCTGTAAACATTGACCAGCATTTCTTGGTGGTCTGAGGTGGCCGGTTCATATTTCAAAGGTTGGGAGTGAGGAGTTTTCCAGCTGCACGTGTCTCCTGGCCTGAAAGGGATCTTGAGCAGCTCTGGAAGTGGCAACTCCAACATCCTGCCCACCTCTCACAGGAGAACCAGGAACATTTGCAATGGCATTTCAGATGGGAATAACCCAACACTCCCAGGCTGAGCACACACACCAGGCAGCTGCACGATTCTTTTTTTACATCTTAGTGGGATTTGTCCAGCTGGAAGTGTGCAGGAATCACACAGCAGCTCCCAGCAAGTTGCTAACTTGCAGCAGTGAAAATGAAAGGTTTGAAATAATTGTCCACTTTCCTCTGACACAAACCAGTTCCTACTATTCAGATGTTTTTAAAGTCTCACTGACAGGCTGGAGTGCAACACTTCAAAATTGCTCTTCAAGAAAATGGGAAACTATTTTAATAAAATTTAGGGAACGATTGTGAGTTCAAAAGAATCATCTTCTACTCTAGACCTACTTGAACACCTGAGATGGAGAATAAATATTGAACCAACAGATCTGGGAACTGACTTGCTGGTACTTCATGTTTTGGGGGATGGGAAAGCTCAGTACTGTTCAGCTTTGAATTCTGTCCTCAATTCAAACACACTGAAGCAAAATTCTGTAAGTCTAATGAAGTTAATTATTTTTCAGCCCCTCTCAGGTTTGCAACTTCTGGGTGCTAAGAGTGTAATGCTGTGATGAAGGAAATTAAATTCCTGTGTTACACAAACTCTGCAGGGCAGGACAGAGGGGTGGGAGCTTAGGCTGACCTAACTCAGTTATCTGTGATCCCAGAATGGTTTGGGTTGGAAGAAAACTCCAAGACCATCACAATCCACCCCATGCCATGGCAGGGACACTTTCCACTATCCCAGGCTGCTCCAAGCCCTGTCCAACCTGGTCTTGGACACTTCCAGGGATCCAGGGGCTGCCACAGCTGCTCTGGGCACCCTGTGCCAGGCACCACCACCCTCCCAGCCAGGAATTCCTTCCCAATAGCTAATTAAAATCTGTTTTTTAGCATAAAACCATTCCTTCTTGTCCTATCACTACCTGCCCATGTAAAAAGTCACTCTCCTCTGTTTTGAGTTCCCTTTCATGCACACCCCCTGTACCTGCCACCCAAACCAAGCCACTAATTGAAAGATTATTTCTGGTCTGTAATAAGCAACACACATTATTCCCATTCATTATTTTGCATAAAGAATGCAGGCCAATTTGTATTATTTATGTGAAATTAGAACATTGGGGGTGTAAAGAGCCTTCAGACTCGAAATTTGGCTGTTGCCTCTCTGAGTAATTTGGTGTTTGCATTAGCAACTTGCTAACATTTCAATCAAACAGAAAAGGTGATTACATGAGGTTTCTGCAGAAGAGGTTTAGTGGCTCCAAAACCTGAGGGCAGACAGAAGCCCAGGAAAAGAAGTAACCAAAGTGTGTTCTCCTAGAGGCAAAGAATTCCAGAAGGCAGGAGCACAGAGGGGCTCACAGTGAACCTGGCAGGGGAATGGCACCGAGCCCCTCCTGGCCAAGGTCAGCAGCACCAGGCAGGGAGGGAATCAGATCCATCAGGGATGACATTTGGGACTTGAAAGGTTTGGAGATGTAGGGCAAATGCAGAGGGTTTCTTTCCTCCCGTGCCCATCATTAAAATCTTCCACAACTGCGTTCATTTGTTCAGTTGTTGAAAAAGTCTGATTTTCTTTTACGTTGGTGGGATCAGGCAAAGGTCAAGGCAACTCTGCCCACCAAAAATGGGTATTTTAGGATCATGAGGGCACTCCCATCAGCTCTTCAAGGTACAGGAAGAGCTTCTGGGCTTCAGGATGCCTTGGGAGGAATGTCCTGCAGTGACTTTCATCAGCCAGCTGATAAGTTTCCTACAAGCACCATTCCCACAGGACAAAGACCTGAATTCCAAGCAATTTCCTGTTATCACCCAGCAGAAAGTATCACACAGCACAGATTCCAGAGCAATAGTTCCACCCTTGGGTTCTGTGAAAGACTGGAGAAATTGGGAAGACCTTTCTCTCACCCTCTAATGAGGAGCTGAAACGATGAGAGGGCAACACATGGGAACAAAATCCACGGTGTGGACAGCAGGGATCAGGAGTAAACATCCATACCCATCTCTGCATGGTCAGGATCTCCACTTGTACCCAAAACAAATTCCCAGGGCACTCTGAAAGCTGATTTCATCTCCAATCAATTTAAAACAGAGATAAACTGGAAAACAAGGACACTGTGACACCTCCAGCTCTTTTTGAGTCATGGTATCAGCTGAGCCAGGCCTGCTCTGTGGCTTAGCCCCCTGCCAGGACTAAAATATCACGGAATTATTATTTTCCTGAGCTGAACCAACATTTATCAACCTTAAAGATGTTTCCCTTAAGAAGCACTACCTTGTCATGGGGCTTTGGACAGACTTGGACACAGTGGGAATATCAAATGTAGCAGCACATGGACACTTCACAGTCGGATTTGGGATGGATTTGAGGTGTTCATCTGCAACACCAGGCAGGGAGGTGAGAGCAAACATCCCAAAAATCAGAACACAAAGCACAGGGTGAGGGTTCAAGCCCACCTTCAGCTTTAGGCCACGCTCTGGTTCCACAGAGTGAAACTCCCAGGGGAAAAGCTGCAGCCATCCAATTCCTACAGCACTTCCACTCGGCTTTCAGGAGAAAACCTAAGTGGGAGTAGCAGTAGTTTCACACATACAAAAGGAGCCCTATTTTTAAGGGGGAAAAAAAAGGGAAAGAAAAAAAAGAAAAGGCTAAAGAAGCAGGAAGCGGAGGAGTAAATGACAGTGGTAGGGAGAAGAGATGTCTCCTTCCATTTAGACAAGCAGACATACTCTTGCAATTTAATGGATTAGAAGGACTCAGAGATATTTACTGTCTAGCCACGTAAGTACATTCCAGCTCTTGATTTGCTTTTAGCATCAAAACCAGTCATAGATTACATCAGTGGGATTCTTGTTTGTTGAAATAAGTGAATAATTTGGGGAGTATATTCAATTCACTCTTTTTACATTCCCTTGTTTCATCTGGTCTCAATTTCCACAAGATGCTGTTTGGGAAACTGCAGCTGGGAGCACGTGGCCAGCGAGACAGGTTGGTCAAGAGCTGGCATCTCCACTCGTTTGCTGGGCTGCATGTTAAATTAATAATGTTAATGTTAAATTAATAACATGCAGGCTGAGCTGTAATGAGCTTGACATGCATCACTTTGGGGGGGTTGGTGTGCAGAGTTCAGGAACACAAAGCAGCTGAGCCAATTTCATGGCTCGTCTTTGCCAAAAGATTCTCCTTCATCCCCTCCTTCTCAGCCTCCCCAGCTCCATGTCCCCTTTCCCCTCCTTCAAGGTGAGCGTGTTGGGGGGACTAAAATGGCACAAAACACCCTTTGTTTTTGTTTGTTTTTTGTTTTAGCAGTGTGGATTTTTCTTCTGGTTTAGGGCTCTCAACTGACTCCAGTAAAGGTCAAGAAGTCAGCACAGAAAATAAAACCCAAGCCAGGAAAAGAGGAAGGAACAGATTGCTGTACCATCAACCCCACCATCAGAGTACCTGGCAACGGCTTCACACTTGTTCTTCTCATGGAAAAAAAAAAAAAAAAGTAACAGTTCTGAAATAGGTAGAATCTTGTTTCTATTGCTAAAGCCTGCGACTTCTGAAGTGACAACCTTCTGATGTTCTGTGGAGCAACCACCACGGCAACTTCCCCTAAAAAAATCTTAACCCATCGTTCTTTTTTCTATTGCAGGGCTGAAAATTCAGCCAGTCAGAGATAGCCAGTAAAAACAGAAACATCAGCCATCTAAATTCCCATAATATTGACTTGAAACAAAATACACCAGTGTTTACTCTATTGCTTTGGCGTGGGTTGGTTTGTTTGCAGTCAAACCGTAATTTATACTGGCTCCTCACATATTGATATGTTGAGGAAATAAACAGTAAATACTATTTCCAATCCATCTGTTTAACTTGTTAGAAAAACAACAGTCAGAGGCTTTTGAGAACTGTAGTTTTTCTGTACAAACCCAAATTGGGAACTGGAGTTTTGTTTCACTCCGAGTGCTCTGTGTGGGTTTGGATGAAGTGTGGCTCCAGCCTGAATTCCCAGCTCTAGCTCCAGGTCCTGGCAGAGCTTTGAGGAGTGTGCAGGGATTGTCTGGAGGGAACCCATCACATCTGTGAGCCTGGCTGGAGCCATCCCACTCCTCCCTGCTTCTCTTTGTCTGACACATGGCTGGGACTTTTAGGGAAAACCTCACCCACCAACAGGGAGCTTTCCATGAACTCGGCTCCTTCCTTATTCTCCCGCTGGCTCTGGAGTGGAGACTCAGCTGGGGCATGGAAAAGGGTTTTAATCCTCAGTTCTTCACAGAAAAATGAAGGTATTGATGTCATGTTTGAAACTCATCGAGCACTGAGCATCTTTTTTGGGCTGCTCTGTCCTAGGGGCAGCACTGCTCTGAGCTGGACAGGGACACACAGGGATACTGCTGGGACAATGAGGTCTGGAGAATTCATCCCACTCCAGCCTCACTGTGGTTAAAGAAGACAGGATGGACAGGGCTGGGAGCAAACTGGTCTCATGGAAAGTGTCAGGTTGAGGTAGAGGGGCTTCAAGGCCCCTTCCCACCCAAACCATCTTGGGATTCTGGGTTTCTGTGAAAGCTGAAGCAAAGCAGCCCCACAGTGCCTTACCTTGACATTTAAGTGTTAAATGTTTTGGCAAGCTGTCCAGCAGGGCACGGACACCA